TAGCTGCTTTCAACTACCTGAGGGGGGGTTCCAAAGAGGATGGAGCTCGGCTGTTCTCAGTGGTGGCAGATGACAGAACAAGGAGCAATGGTCTCAAGTTGCAGTGGGGGAGGTCTAGGTTGGATATTAGGAAAAACTTTTTCACTAGGAGGGTGGTGAAGCACTGGAATGCGTTACCTAGGGAGGTGGTGGAGTCTCCTTCTTTGGAGGTTTTTAAGGCCCGGCTTGACACAGCCCTGGCTGGGATGATTTAGTTGGGAATTGGTCCTGCTTTGAGCAGGGGGTTGGACTAGATGACCTCCTGAGGTCCCTTCCAACCCTGATATTCTATGATTCTAACTATGAGAGATCAAGAGAACGCCCAAAATAAGGGACAGATGATCCCACGTCTATCAATTGTGTGATTCTTACAACTTCTTCTGAATCGTCTGATACTGGCCACTTTCAGAGACAAAAATAATGCACTAGATCAGTGGTCACCAACTGGTAGATTGTGATCGACTGGTTGACCCTGGAGCCTCTGCCGGTCGATCGCAATCTCCGGCCGCTAAAAGTCCGGCAGCACAGCTGGGCTCAGGCAGGCTGCCTGCCTGCCCTGGCCCCATGCCACTCCCAGAAGCGGCTGGCTGCTGGCACATCTCTGTTGCCCCTGAGGGGAGGGAGTGAGAGGCGGCTCCACATGTTGTCCCCGCCCCCAGCACCATCTCCACAGCTCCCATTGGCCAGGAACCGGCCAATGGGAGCTGCGGGGGTGGTACTTGCAGGCGCAGGAAGCGCACAGCGATCCACTGTTCCCCTCCCTCTCAGGGGCCGCAGAGACGTGCCAGCAGCCAGCTGCTTCCAGGAGCGGCATGGGGCCAGGGCAGGCAGGCAGCCTGCCTGAGCCCCACCAACCGGGAGCCCCCTGTGGTAAGCACCTCCTGGCCGAAGCCTACACCTTGCACCCCCACCCCAGCCCGGAGCCCCCTCCTGCTCCCAAACTCCCTCTGAGAGCCCACATCCCTCACCTCTCCTGCACCCCAATATCCTGCACCAGCCCGGAGCCCCTCCTGCACCAAACTCCCTCCCAGAGCTTGCACCTCTCACTCCTGCACCCCAACCCCCAGCCTCAGCCAATGCACACCCCACAGTTGAGAATGTTACACTGATTTGTGATGTGACATGGTTCGGTCACAGAGATCCCCTTGGGACTGTCACCTGACGTGCTGGAATTACCTCTGAGCCAGTTTTCCCTGAATCCAGCTTGGGACTCCAGAACCCTGCCTTGTTGAGCCAGACACGCTAGCCTGCTGCGAAACAGACCCAGGTCTGGTCCACGCCCCCAAAACTGCAGGCTTTAACCAAAAACTGCTCAGCAGGTCACCTATTTCCAGCACCCAGACACCCAGTTCCCAATGGGATCCAAACCCCAGATAAATCCGTTTTACTCTGTATAAAACTTATACAGGGTAAACTCATAAATTGTCTGCCCTCTATAACACTGATAGAGAGATATGCACAGCCGTTTGCTCCCCCAGGTATTAATCACTTACTCTGGGTTAATTAATAAACAAAAGTGATTTTATTAAGTATAAAAGTAGGATTTAAGTGGTTTCACGTAATAACAGACAGAACAAAGTAAGTTACCGAGCAAAATAAAGCAAAAACACGCAAGTCTAAGCCTAATACATTAAGAAACTGATTACAGATACAATCTCACCCTCAGAGATGTTCCAATAAACTTCTTTCACAGACTAGACTGCTTCCTAGTCTGGGCCCAATCCTTTCCCCTGGTACAATCCTTGTTAGTTCCAGCAGACATCTTAGGTGGAAACTAGGGGTGTTCTCATGACTGACAATCCCTTTGTTCTGTTCCACCCCCTTTTATATCTTTGGCACAAAGCGGGAATCTTTTGTCTCTCTGGGTTCCCACGCCTCCTTCTAAATGGAAAAGCACCAGGTTTAAGATGGATTCCAGTATCAGGTGACATGCTCACATGTCCTCCAGCCTCCATTCTTCCCAGGAAGGTTTGCAAGTAAACAGACCATTTACAACCAATTATCCTAGTCAATGGGAGCCATCAAGCTTCTAAACCACCATTAATGGCCCACACTTTGCATAATTACAATAGGACCTCAGAGTTATACTTCATATTCCTAATTTCAGCTACAAGAATGATACATTTATACAAATAGGATGAACACACTCAGTAGATTATAAGCTTTGTAATGATACCTTACAAGAGATCTTTTGCATAAAGCATATTCCAATTACATTATATTCACACTCATAAGCACATTTCCATAAAACATTATAGGGTGCAACGTCACATGTGACAATCCCTGAAGGATTTTGGATCTATAAACCACAAATAACACTAATAAAAAGTAAAACTCATGAAATGTCCAGTGGATTCCATGAAATTAGATCCAGTGTGACCATATGACCCCTGCATCCAAACTCCCTCCCAGAGCTTGTACCCATCAATCCTGCACCCCAACCCCCTGCCCCAGGCTCAGCCCAGAACCCCCTCCCACACTCCGAACCCCTCGGCCCCAGCCCAGAGCCTGCACCCCCTCCTGCAACCCAGTGAAAGTTAGTGAGGGTGGAGGAGAGCGAGTGACGGAGGGAGGGGGGAATGGAGTGAGTGGGACGGGGCCTCGGGGAAGGGCAGGGCAGATCCTGGGTTGATCTTAAATTCAAAAAGTGATCTTGTGCATAAAGGTTGGAGACCACTGGACTAGATAGAACTTGAGTCTGATCCAGTATTGCAATTCCTATATGCCTATGGGATTCAGTTCACACCTATCCACCAAAGAAATCTCAGAGTACAACCTCATCTCATATCTTAATGCAACATCCTTTTCTCTGGCCTTGACAAATGCAATCTTGCTTAATTCATATGCATTGAGAATGCGGCTGCAAAGATCATTTTCCTACCTTGTCACTTTGACCACATCATCCCTCTCTTTGAATTCCTCCTTCAATTCGTTCTTCCCTACTACATCAAAAAAACTGCTTGTATTTACTTTCAAGGTTCTCCACAGTCAATCCCCACTCTATCTCTCATTTGATATCCAGCTATTAATGCTCGCCTCCAACTGGTACCACCGCTGTAATTAAACCGCTGTTGCATGGCCACACTATACTCCTGGTGTCGGTGTAGCACATCCACAATAGCAGCTCTTGTCTTGACAGAGAGAGCAGTGCACTGTGGGAGCTATCTCTGTGCAACTGGCTGCAGGGTACTTTGGGAAGGGTTTGCAATGTCTCATGGGGCAGATACAGTTTCAAATGATGAAGGTTTCTCAATCCCATCGTTTCATGGGCATCCTACTAGATTGGCAGCCGCTTTTCAGTTGCTCTGGTAACCTGCAACCCAGCCATCTCTGTCAGAAAACATGGATCCTGCACTGCTGTTCAGTATTGTGCTGTGCGTTATAAACACACCGCTATAAGAGGAGCCCAAGGAGGGAGAGGGGGCTATTCAGTTGAGCCTGGCATTGTTTGTTTGCACTGTACTATGAACCTTGTTATTATTTCTATGTGTGCCCGAAAAGTAACACATTTTTAAAGTAGCACTCGGTAATATGACCAAACTGACATCGCTGAACACCAAAACAAGAAGCCCACAGAAGTGTGTGTGACAGGGAGTGTGCATGTGTGTGTGTGAATGAGAGAGAGAGAGAGAGACAGACAGACAGACAGAGTATGTGTTGGGAGAGAATGAGCATGTCGGCATGTTTTCTCTTTACATTCAGACAGCAGCAGGAAGCAACCAATCCGGAGGCAAAAGCTGATGCACAGACAGCTGGTGTCCCACCCCCCCAGCTCAGGGGAGACCAGTACACCAGCAGGGGGAGGGGAACACCCAACATCAGCCCTTGCCTCCCTTCCTGGCTCTACACAGCAAGGCATAAGCCTCTCCCCCACCCCAGCAGCATCCCGGCTGCCACTGTAATCTTAGTGCCGGGGAGAGCAGGATTCCACGTTCATGTTTTGATCCTGTGATTCCCTCCAAGTTTTCCCACCCGCTCCTCTCCCCACAGACCAAGGAGATCCACCCCCTCCTCTGTAGTCCAGACAGGAATGTGTTTGCTGCTGGGAGCCAACTTGCTCAGCTGAGAAGTAGTCCAGGCAGGAACCATCTTTTTCTGTGTTTGTACAGAGCCTAGCACAATGGGATTCTGGTCCATGACTAGGGCTGCCTATGTACTACAGCAATACAGATAAATAACAGCAGTGCTGACACATTGAGATAGTGACTTGCGATACTGTGATGCTAGCAGACAAAGAATCTGTAAAATCTCTCTCTCTCCACACTACCTCTCCCCTCTTTGGGCTCTAGGACATACATGAATACTTGTTTAAATCAATAACTTCAAGATTTAACCTTTTACCCAAGCCTTAGAATAAGCTTTTGTTCCATTGATCTCTGATTTAACTGGATTTTCTTTAATTTGTCTAATGATCATTGCTTTATTAAAATCATTTTGACATTAGACTCACTAACACAACCACAGGCAATTCAAGTAGAATGAATAAAGGAAGTAAATAAATAAGTAAGTAAGTAAGTAAGTTACAGCTGTTGGTAAGAGAGAAAGGGAACAAAAAGTTACCTAAGCCTGAAACATTCAAATTCAAAAAGGGACCAGACTGCCTGTTTCAACAAGCTGCAGCCAGAAAGGGAAGAGGAAGCCTGGGGAGTGTGGGGGCAACAGGAAAAGGAGACTAAAGTTTCCATAAACCCAGGATTATCGCATTTAATTCACACTAACACTACAGTAGTCTCAATACACAAGCTTTAGCTCCTATTCTAAGGATGTTAAAAGAAAGGTCTTATGCTCATTTTAATGAAATTGGGTAAAAATTTAACTTTTAAAAGTTAGTAGCAATATATTTGAGAATCCTTATAAAATGCTGAGTTAGATGATAACCAGTCAAACCAAAACCTAAATTATCTAACGCTTGCTATATACCATACTCAGCCATATTATAACTTACAAGCAATTTTTCTTACCACGGCGTTGCTTGAGCTTTCTTGCAAATCCCACAATAATAAGTGATTATCAGCCAGTGAAATGAGCTTTTTACCATCTCCCATTGGCTCCCATATAACACTGTAAAACAAACATATAACATGAATAAAACACATGAAAAACCCCTAACACAATGAAGTCTTGCAATTGTCGGTCATTTTAATTCTGTGGTGCTAAATCTGTCCTTAAACACAATGGTGAAACTCCCATAATTTTCAATATAAATTGGTCCTTTTTGTCTGCAGAGCAGAGTTTGACCATTCTTGTCAATATGTAGTTAGTTACATACAAAAAACCTCCAAACATTAAAATAATATTACAGTGGTAAAGTCAAGCACTCAAAAGTTAGGAAATGCAAGAATTAAGGTTGCCCATACAACCTTAATTTGGCCCCCTGGTGCATATATATCATGATAGTCCTGCTCAACATCATATATAAAGTCTGTGGCAGAGGAAGGAACAAGTGGCGTTCGGTTATCACTCAGAGCCAAGGAATCTGACAGAGGTCTGCTTCATTCAGTGTCTGAGCTCTAACTGATCAGCACTACTTAACATGAGTAACATAACTGGTTCTAACTAGCTCTTGCCAGAGCCTCTTAAAGGTACACTTCCCCACGTCTTCCTTTCCCAGACAATTAACAAACAACATTAGCATACTACAAAATTTCAAGTACTTATAACCAAATTACTAACCAAACTAACAATGCTCAATTTCTCTCAGGTGCACTGTACTGTCATGTAGACCTGTAGGCCTCACTTGAGACATCAGCACCATTGTACTCAGGTGGCAGTAAGTCCATTAACTCTGGTTGTGCCACGTCCTGGGGCTCAGACTTCTTAATCTGCTGTGGTTGTTGCCTGTCTAAGACCTCCTCTAGCAAGATGACCATTCAGGGCCACTTGGTTCCAAGTGGTTCTTGACAGAGCCTCTTAAAGGCACAGTTTCTCACAGGACAAAACAGCGCTCCTGGATCCCAGTCTGCCTGCTTTTTGTAATCTCTCAGGTACCTTATCAACACAGACATGGAAGCAATCTAGACACCCAGGCTGTGGGGAGCATTTCTAAAATGGGTGAATGATTCCTATAGTAGGAATGTAAGGCCCAGATCTATTGGGCTATGAAGTACACAAAATTAACACCAGGTAATGGAAGAGCTGAAACAACAACTCACGGTCTTCTCCACACTCTTTACCCACTCCCTCTTTCCCTAGGTGAGAGAGAGGTAATGGGGAGATAACGGTAGTAAGGACTGACTACTGCTTCTACATTCCTTTTATTGTAGAGCTCTAACCCTGTCGGAGGCTCAATGTAGAAGGTAACATGCTCAGTGCAGTTCATTTGTAGTAAACTCCATGATGCTGTGGGATGCTCAATACATTTGGCATGTTATGAATTTTAGCACCAAGCCTCTAACACAAACTAGGACTCCCCCCCGAAGCATAGCCAAAACTACCTACTCTTTTCCTAATCACCTTAGAAATCACAGAATTATACTGGAAGGGACCTTGAGAGTTCATTTGGTCCAGTCCCCTGCACTCATGGCAGGACTAAGTATTATCTAGACCATCCCTGACAGATATTTGTCTAACTTGCTCTTAAAAATCTCAAATGATGGAGATTCCACAATCTTCCTGGGCAATTTATTCCAGTGGTTAACCACCCTGAGAGTCAGGAATTGTTTCCTAATGTCCAAACTGTACCGCCCTTGCTGCAATTTAAACCCATTGCTTCTTGTCCTATCCTCAGAGGTTAAGAAAATCAAATTTTCTCCCTCCTCCTTGTAACAACCTTTTATGTACTTGAAAACTGTTACCATGTCCCCTCTCAGTCTTCTCTTTTCCAGACTAAACAAACCAAATGTTTTCAATCTTCCCGCTTAGGTCATGTTTTCTAGTTGCTCTTTAATCGATTTTGTTGCTCTTCTCTGGACTTCCTACAATTTTTCCACATCTTTCCTGAAATGTGGTGCCCAGAACTGGTCACAATACTCCAGTTGATACCTAATCAGCACAGAGTAAAGCAGAAGAATTCCTTCTTGTGTCTTGCTTACAACACTCCTGCTAATACATCTCAGAATGATGTTTGCTTTTTCTGCAACAGTGTTATACTGTTGACTCATATTTAGCTTGTGATCCACTATGACTCCCAGATCCCTTTTTTGAAGTACTCTTTCCTAGGCAGTTATTTCCCATTTTGTATGTGTGCAACTGATTGTTCCTTCCTAAGTGATGTACTTTGCATTTGTCCTTATTGAATTTCATCCTATTTATTTCCAACCATTTCTCCAGTTTATGCAGATCATTTTGAATTTTAATCCTATACTCCAAAGCACTTGCAACTCTTCCCTGCTTGGTATCATCCGCAAACTTTATAAGTATACTCTCTATGCCATTAGCTAAATCACTGATGAAGATATTGAACAGAACTGGATCCAGAACTGATCCCGCAGATTCCACTCGATATGGCCTTCCAGCATGACTGTGAACCACAGATAACTATTCTTTGGGAATGGTTTTCCAAACATTTACTCACCCACTTTATTGTATCTCCATCTAGGTTGTATTCCCCTAGTTTATTTATGAGAAAGTCATGCAAGACAGTGTCTAAGGGCTGGTTTACACTAACCCCCCACTTCGAACTAAGATACGCAACTTCAGCTAGGTTATTCACGTAGCTGAAGTCGAACTATCTTAGTTCGAACTTGCCGCGGGTCCACACGCGGCAGGCAGGCTCCCCCGTTGACTCCGCGTACTCCTCTCGCAGAGCAGGAGTACCGGCGTTGACGGCGAGCACTTCCGGGATCGATCCCAGAAGATCGATTGCTTACCGCCAGACCCAGAGGTAAGTATAGACGTACCCTAAAGCCTTACTAAAGTCAAGTTATACCACATCTACCACTCCCCCCCGCCATACGTAAGGCTTATTACCCCGTCAAAGAAAGCTATTAGGTTGCTTTGACACAATTTGTTCCCAACAAATCCATGCTGTTACCCATCACCTTATTATCTTCTAGGCATTTGTAAACTGATTGCTTAATTATTTGCTTCATTGTCTTTCTGGGTACTGAAGTTAAGATGACTAGTCTGTAATGCCCTGCGTTGTCCTTATTTCCCTTTTTATAGATTGGCACTATATTTGCCCTTTTCCAGTCCTCTCCCATCTTCCATGACTTTTTGAAGAAAATTGCTAACGGCTCAGATATCTACTCTGTCAGCTCCTTGAGTATTCTAGGATGTATTTCATCAGGCCCTGATGACTTGAAGACATCTAACTTGTTTGAGTACTTTTTAACTTGTTCTTTCCCTATTTTAGCCTCTGATCCAACCTCATTTTCACTGGCATTCACTATATTAGATGTCCAATCACTATTAACCTTTTTGGTGAAAACTGAAACAAAATGATTGAACTGTTTTCATTGAAACTTCAAAAAAGATTCAGTCTGAGTCAGAGAGCAGGTTCAGAAAATGTCACCCCAACCAGTTATAGTGTGGCAAAATTATACACAACTGAAAACAAGTCTTTATAATGGAAAACATTAAACAACCTAAACAATAGGCATCACTACCAACTGCCTACAATAATTAGAAGTAGCTAACTGGTTTTAAAACTGTCACTTGGTATGAACAGAGAGACAAGATGGGTGAGGTAATATCTTTTATTGGACCAACTTCTGTTTGTGAAAGAGACATGACTCCGAGTTACAAAGAGCTCTTTTTCAGGTCTCTCTAACATCCTGGGACCAACATGGCTACAACAAACTTGGTATCTACATTTCATAATGGACACTTTATTCCATATAGTTCAGTTCCAGAAGACATGTATTAGTTCTTTGAAAAGATTAAAAGCATTTTATAAACACAATTAAAAGGATAAAATATTAATACATTATAACAGATATCTGATTAAACTAATTTCGGAGTTTCTACATCCAAAACGAAATAAAAAGGACTAATGACAATTCTGATATTTTGCGAATGGACTGGATCATGGAACAGTGAAAGTGTTTCTCACGCCAAATGATAGGGAGCATACCAAAAACCTCAGTGATTTTTTTAATTCAATGACTATTTCTGGATTACAAAAGAGGACAACAATGGATATTTTGGCCTATTTTATTAGATAACATTTTTGATTACTGGCAATGAAATTTGTTTTTGCCAATTACTTCTGTAGTGATTATTTGGCAACAGAGATAAAAACTAATTTTCTAAAAGCCATTCGTTATGGGTGCTGATGTGTTTGCCCCTCACTTGAACTAACCACTGGGCATTTGGTTGTAAGGACTAAATTGGAAGCACTTTTTTTGATGTTTTCAAAGGCAAGAAGAAATTTCTTTGAGTGTCACTGAGCTTCAAGGCAAAGAATTTTATAGCTGGAAAGTGTGCTAATTAGAGCCAATTATAACCCAACTGACATACCTCAGAATTAAAAGGTCTAGGAGCATTCACTCTGTCCTTGCAAGATGCTCATTTTGCTACTATTTAATTTATCTGATATGAAAGTTCATCGTTTTATGGATGTGGTTGTAGCAATCATTCAGATTTTATGATCAAGATGAAGGTTACCCAAATCACTCTTTGTAACATGATTTCACTTTAAGTGGAGACCACTTTTCCATAGCCATAACTCAACTGTTAGAGTAATAGGAAAACACCAAGGTTTGAAAAATTCACTCATACCTCTTACCACTGGTGAGTGAGAGGCTTTGCTTTCAAAGTAAAAGGGCTTAAGCCACCAATTTCTGCAGGATTTAAGTTAATTTTTTAAGTTTCTATTCATTACGTATATGATAATCTTCAGAAGGTGAACAGAATGGAAACCAATGCAGCTTTGCCATCTGAGTCTGCAAATAGCTGCAGTCTCTCAGTTGAAACTAGCATTTTGTCAGTTTCAGAAAAGTTAGGGCTTGCCTAAAACAAGTATTTTAAACCAGATCAAATCAAGTTAATCCAGTTTGAAAATGCTTGTGTATACACAACACAATCCACACTAATTCTGCATTAATCGAGAACTCTGGAGTCCTCCAGAGTATCATTCTTGCAATACAACTTTGACAGCTCTCCAGAAGCTCTATAAACAT